CTGATTATCCACCTGGGTCTTCTTCCTTGTTTACAGTTTGTTCTGCACATACAGTATGCGCTCTATAAGCAGGGGCGCAGTTAGTGCTTTCCAGGAGGAGGTGAGGATACCCTCCCCCAGTTCCACCCCCACCCCCAACACGGGCACCAGCAGCTCTCTGTACAAAGAGAGCAGGTGATGTTATAATAGTGGGAGACATCAACGTTCCACACATAAACTGGAACAGCAGTCGACATGTTCATTTTCCTTCTGTATTTGTTTAACTGTGACTTATCTTATCCTTGAATGCTTCAGTTTGAGCATTTAGGTTATGAGTAAAATATGAAGTTTAAGCATTTTACACAATGAGACACCACAGAAAAGTTCCAAATACCTTTACAAGACGCTGTGTGATTCAGGACCGATTTTTGATTGAATAATTAAGCAATTACTCTCTGCACATGTGGGGTGCAGGTCCCAAACACTTCTGGGAAAGATTTGTTTCTGCTGGGAAAATGGGATTGTGTTTACCTCGATGGGACACACAACTGTTTTTTTGTGTCTAGTGCAGAAATTGGAACTTATTGTTTTGGAAAAATGTGTGTCACACAAATTCATTTTATTCTAAAAGTGATCAAAAACGATTATGTTAACTATTCTGAAAACATTAACAATGTTTTGAGAATTCTCTTCAAGTGCTGAGATAAAAAAACCGTGATGATCTACTTGTTTTCTACTTTCTAGTTTTACAGAGCATTTGATGTCTTCCTTATTAAAAACTCACTTTCAGAAATGGCCTGCCTTATATTTCTATACAGATGTTTATTGAAGTTCATTACATGCTACTCTGTGTAGACCTTTGTCCTTATGTATTTCATTTTACCCCAGACATCTACCTATAGGGTTCTAGACATTTTAAGGTGGGCTGAACGGCCCCCTCTCATTTGTAATTGTTCTTAAGCTCACTAATGTTCAGCGCGTTACTAAATACAGTCTTAACTATTCAAATGATAGATGTATTAAGCCGGATGCAGGGCAAAAGATTCATCTGAAGTGTACCTGAATTGAGCCACAGATGTGGTTTAAACGGCTTCATATTGAGAAATACTTCCTTAATGTTGCTTCCAATTCAACAAGAGTCACATCTTAAGTGATGCACTAAGGATTAAGAAAATGATAAAATCAGATGCAATATTATAAGGTACTGAATACTGTCACAATATTGTAATAAAACATAGGTTTAGGTCATGACTGACTAGAAGCAATCTCATAATGATGCTATACATGATTATTAAGTATTAAGGAGGCAGGGATGGGGTTAGGAATGCAGTTCAGCATAAGGTCAAAAAAGCGTTATGTTACCAACATGTACAGTATGTAATCTACTGTAGAAGCTTGTTGTAATCACATTGCTGCTACTTTTTTAACACTTTAGCAAAATATTCCAATTTACGGTTGTGGTCCTCATCAGTTCCAGACTTTTTGTGCTGTTGAACAAGGCTTCCAGTGGGACTGCACCAGCACACCTCTATTCCAAAGCCAGACCCTGTGTTCCCTGAGATCTGCTTCCTCAGGCCAGCTGGCAATGATGAATTCCAGGGGGGCTGATTCTCGGTCACTGTGTTTCCCCTGGGGCCCTGAGATCTGCTTCCTCAGGCCAGCAGGCAGTGCCATTGCTTGAGGGGCAACAAGTCCCAGGCACAACACCTCTCTGTGCTGGTGGATAAGCCTTCATGTCCCAATCAGAACTGTGGACTGACTCACCATCGCTGAGAAGAAACTGAAACTCCCCCTTACCGACTGCACACGCACTCATGCTCCTGCAGTACCTCCTGTTGGTCAAACAGCTCTGAAACTCCTTGGGACTGAGCAACATGCAGCACTTGATTAACACTGTGCTTCGTGTTCTCTGTGGGTTTCCTGTTGTTTAGTGCCACTGTTACCCTTCACCTGCCCTTCTTGACCTAATGTTATAAGTAACATTGGACGTCAGTGTCTACAAAATAAATACGTAAACGTGAATGTCCATCTTTTCAACTCATTGAGTTTAGGTTTAGTTGAGGCAGCTTAGTAGCGAAATAAGTCTAAATTGTTCAAACAGCAATTAATCTAAACAATCCAACACCTTGTAAAAGTACTCAGACCCTCCCAATGTTGTCCCATTTTGTAAAATTACAAGATTTTGCATCCAAATATTTTTAAAATTAATATTTTATTCAACAGCAGAATGCTCAAAACTAAGGACTTCTAAAGGTAAGATGAGTCACTGTAAATGTTTGCAAAAACACTGGTTACATAAGTATCCAAAACCATGAACTTAATATTGGGTGAAAGCATCTCTGGCAGCGATTCCAGCCACATGTCTTTCAGGTGGGTATCTGCCTACTTTGTATACTGTCGTGATGTCATTTGTACCCATTTTTCTGGGCAGATTTCTCTCAAGTTGCTTGGGCATCCCTTATGGACAGCAGTTTGCAAACAATCTGCCACAGAGTCTCAAGAGGAATCAAGTCAGTATTTTTCCAGACAGTGCAGTCTAACCAGCTAAGTGTAAGAGACTGTTCTACACCACGGGCACAGAATTAGGTTTGGCCCAGGTTCACTGCTTTCTTTCAGGTTGTTTACCTCTCGACGCAGGAATACGATTTGAGAAGCTGTACCAACGAAGGCCACAACCGCTGACAAACAGACATGCGAGGACATCCCCACAAAGACTGTAAAAGCCCCTTTTTAGCCAAAGAGCGTTTCCCTTTAAGTCTAAAAGTGTCATTGTTTGTCTGCTTTCACATAAAAAATGCACCTTTTTCAGTCTGCATACTGTCTTTCCAGCCCAGCACAGAAACAGTGTGAACGTCAGTGCTAAATCCCCAGCCAGGAGCACACACGTGTGTGAGCGGTTGTATGTCAGTGTGTGCGTGCGGATGGCATCATACAATGACGCTGAGATAGCAGGTACTTTAACTACTTCACTCAAGTCTTTACACACCTATTCATGTGCTGTGTGATAGAAATTCCCAGTTGCATTAAACAGCGCTGCCCACTGAATCAGAAGAGTCATCGGACACACCATGCTGCTGGAGAGATGCAGCAGGCGGAGCCTGAACTGGTGCGTGAGTCTACAGAACAACTCCTTCCACATGAGCTGCAGTGTGGAGAGATTATGGTGGTCAGACCGGCTGTTGTGTCACATATCAGGAATGTCCTCTTGGCTCAGTTTATACCCCTTGGGTCACAGCTATAACGCTGCACAGCTGTGCAATGATGGTTTTTTGAATTACTATGCATGAGCAAATGAAGCACAAGCCCACCAATCCATACCTGTATTTCTGAGGAATTCGAGAAGCTCTTGCTGACTGTATTCATCATCTTTCAGGTTGATGTCAGCACGGACAATGCCTCCCTCTTCTCCACTACAAGCTAATGGGCTGCCAGCACTTCAACAAAGTCTGGTAGCAGACATGCTCAAATAGCGGCCAGGTATTTTCAGTGCGATGGGGAAAACTTTGCTTCATTTATTGCTTCAAAGAACAATAAACGATTTATTGTGGTGGGTTGAAGCCAGCACTGACACACATAACAATGCTGCTTTTGTCTGGCTCAGTCTCCGAGCTCCTGGCTGAAGATCGCTGGGGAAAGGAAGCTGGAATGGAACAATAAAAGCTGGAGTTCACAAAACCGATTCAGGCTCCGTACAGGGAAATTCCTGGGATTTTCATTCTCGGTTTTCCAACACAGCTGTTGATGTTGTCATGCCTGTGAGAAACACTCAGACCCCTAATGGAATCCTGCTGAAGACGCATCAGCAGAGTAAAGAGACACTTCAGCAGTCGTGTCAGGCTGTTCTGTGATTAATCACATATCTCAGATCCTGTCTTCAGACTCCTGTCTGGACACAAACAGGCAGATGGCACATGGCAGCCAGGGGCTCTGTTTGTCACCACGGTAAAACTGCTGGCTAACAGAGCCCCCTGCCGTGTGGTGTAATGGAACATCTGGCTAATCTACTCCGGCAATTGGGCCCCCTGTCTAGCTCCAAGAAGGAAACGCCGAAGAGAGAGAACGATCATTTCATTTCTTTCAATCACAGCAGAAATCAATATGATGTGGACACCTGTGTCCCTGCTGTTTCATTTTTTCCAGACGCTCTTGTCCCTTGCTCAGGACCTTCACTCTCACAGACCAGTGGCCTTGATGGTGGCTGCCCTGGGATCTGTCAAGAAGCAGCTGCCCAGACTCTGGGATCAAAAAGCTGCTGATAGTCTGGCAGGAGAGGTCGGAGAATGGCCTTGTCTTGTTCCATTTATATAGGGGCCGTGGTTTAGGGAGCAGCCCCTGATCGGTCTGCAGAACTTCTCAGCTCTCAGTCACCTGTCCTAAGTTTCAGTTCAGTCCAGTGTCATATGCACAAGTGCAAGGAGATGCATCTTTGCATGTATGCTCCAATAGAAAGACATTAAGGAAACACCAAAAACATAAACACAGAACAGCAGCAGCAACAACAAGTTAAATAACATACAGTACAGCTTAGAAAATAAACATTGGTGTGGGCCAGCGGAAGGGGTAGATTTCAGTTATCTGACAGCTTGTGGAAAGAAACTGTCTGAATCTTGACGTTCGTGCCTTTATGCTCCTATAATGCTTACCAGAGGGAGGGGGGAGAAAAATGATAAACCAGGATGACTGGTATCCTTAGCGATACCTCCAGCCTTTCTGAGACAGCGAGTTGTAAACATGTCCACAACAGAGGGGAGCTGTACTCCAATGATAGACTGGGCAAATCGATCACCCCCTGTAACGCCTTCCAGTCAGACAATGAGCTGCTGCCAAACACGTTAATACCACACGTGAACACACTCTCAGTAGCACACCTGTAAGATATGGTCAGGACAGCTGAAGATAGGCCACATTTTTTCAACTGTCTGAGGAAGTAAAGGCGCTGTTGTGCCTTCTTTGTAGCTCCACTTACATGCTGGGACCACGTTAAATCATTAGTGATGAATTTACCCAGGAACTTGAAGCTGCTAAGCATCTCTACAGCCCCCCACTGATGTGTATAGGTGTGTGGTCCACCCCCTGCTTTCTAAAATCCATGGCCAGCTCTTTGGTTTTGCTGACACTGAGAGAGAGATTATGTGAGAGTTTCTCACTGCTGATCAAAACATACCTGGAAACACCAGATAACACAGCCTGCTGTGGAGTTCAGTTCGTTGGAGTTTTGCTTTAAACATAAACAATTTGGAACTTGTGTGAAGAATATCATTCATGCAATGGTCCCCTCTCCCCCTCCAAAAAAATAATGATAACTGATTATTTAAAATTAGTAGCAAAAATCAACAACACGCCCATGAGAAAATTAAAGAGAGGAAGGCGTTCAGCCTATCAGACATGTGTGAGACACACCTGTGAGGCAAGGAGTGTTTGTGTCAGGGCTCAGTGACTCTCTGAGAATTCAGTCAGGAAAAATCACACCTTCCCTGTCTCCACCTGTTCATGGTTTGCATTCTTGAAGAACAACACTCCTCTCTGGACTTAGCAGGAGCACAATACACAGTGATTCAGTTTTATGCTAAAAAAAAATCTTATTCTTCCACAATCTAGACAAAACTGGGCAGTTAGTTTCATACATTAACCATAATGCATAAGCAGCTACTGTAGGTATTTTCAGCAACAACCCGAGTGTGAGAACGGTGATATATTTGTGTCCAGATTAGGCAGGAGAAACCAGTCTGTGTCAGAGTGCAGGGATATGTTTGTGTCCAGATTAGACAGGAGACTCCAGTCTGTGTCAGAATGCAGGGATGTGTTTGTGTCCAGATTAGACAGGAGACACCTCTGTCTGAGTGCTGTGATGTGTACAGTACTGTATGTACCCAGATTAGACAGGAGATTCCAGTCTATGTCAGAGCCTTTTCTCTGATTTACATTCAGAGACTCCAGACTAGGATGGCGTTTTGATGCAGTGGTTAGCATTGCTGGCTTGCAGTTCCAGGGCTCTGGGTTCAATTCCTGGGGTACTATCTGAATTAAGTTTGTATATTCTTCCTTCTTCACATACAGTAGGTTTCATTCCAATACATTTCCAATAAACCCACCAGTATGTTTCTGGACTGTGGCGGGAAACCGGAGCACACGGAGGAACCCATGTGACCACGAGGAAGCCATGCAAACTCCACACAGATAGCACCCCAGGTCCGAAATTGAACGATGGTAACCGCTGCGCACCAGGCTGCTGTATTATCGCTGATCAGAAGCGCTAAACCGCGACACCTGCGCTGGTCTCACTCTGGGCGGAGAGCAGTCCCTGCTGTTGAAGCTGTGTACGTGTTTCTACTTCTTAAGCAGACTTGGATCCCTTTTTCTCGTTTCGATCTTCAGGGCTCACCGCTGGTTTTTCCTTCAGTCTAGATGTTTGCTGTCGGTATTTTCGTCTTGCTCAATTCCGGCCCTTTTCGCAGGATCCCACTCCGGAGTCGGGAGTACGGATTTCGGATGAGCCGCTTCCTTCATTCCTGAGCGCCGAGTTTTCACACACACCCTCCTCGACAGAGCGAGAAACTCCCACCTTGGGGAGCGGGGAATGAGACGGGGAGCGGAGCAGTCAAGAGCGGGGAGGACGAGCAGCACCAGGGCTGATATCAACCCGAAAGGACGGGACCGCAGAAGCCGCAGAGGACCGCAGTCACCCCGCTGCTCTCTGGAGGTGTGTGGCCGTGAGCCCGGCGTGTTGCAGGACTTGCCGACTCGCTGTACCGGGTGAGAGAACTTGGCGACCCTGTCAGTCACTTTCCTGCTGATTAGGACTCATAGAATTATAATAATCATCATAGTTTAGTGTGGAACGATGTAATAAGCTGAATTTTAACGCTTGCCAGTGGAAAATATATGGTCTGCCGCTGGAAGGCTGGGTTTGGTCATTGAAGAGCTTCAGTGAACAAATGTGGGAGCAGCAGTGTGAACTTGTGAACTAGAAGTGAAATTAGTTTTTATTAAGTGAACATGACGCTGGGATTTTATCACACGTCCGAGACAGAAACAGGAGACATTACACACTGCGGATAAAAAAAGCTTCGAGAGCCGTCAGTGTCACACCGGGAAACACGTTCCAATTTGTGATTTTTAAAAAGGGAAACAGATAGATAGGTACAATCCCAATTACGGCATCCTCACTAGACAAATGTAGCACTTGGTAATGTTTTACTGGATGTTACAACAAAAAAGCGCCGCCCTGCTTGAACACCGTTCCAGGGACGCGTTTCTGAGCCTCTGCGCTCTTTCCTGCTCCTTTCTGAGCCGGAGGGTCGATGAGCTCTGTGTCCCCAGGCGGAAACGCGGCTTGGCTGGCTTGCGTGGCCGATGGCAGGGTCAGAGAGGGTTCGCTAAACAAATTTCACCCGGTCCCAGTCTCGGTCTCCGTTCCCTCCTGGAAACCGCATTCAAATTTCAGATGTATTTTTACTGCCAGAACAAACCCTGGAGGTGCAGCACATCACTAGAAATTGTGTTCTGTCTGCAACAGGCTGCTGGAATACGTTTCTATAAAATATAAATCATCCAATCATGGCTCAGAGTGATTAAGCGGTGCTCAAGCAGGATTTAATACAAGACATGAAAACAGGTTTGTCTTGGACGCGGGAGGGATCACAATTTTCTTTTTAAAGTGCAGCACATTGACAGATGCTGCGGGTGAGCAAAACAGTCCTGTTTAATTGTCTGTATGTGCTGTCCACTGCACTGACTGCAGCTGCTGTCTGCCTGCAGGACACACGGATCTACAGCACCGCTGCCTGGGCCTCTGGGAGGAGAGACAGGGGTCAGAGCTGCTGTC